GGAGCAACAACATGGTCAGCAAACACCCCAGCGGTAACAAACTCCGTTGCTTGCCCAACAATAAAAACTAGATGGCAATATGAATCTCAGCCAACAAGAACGAATAAACCAGCTTCAACATCAACTACAGCTTCTACAAAAACAGCAAGAAGCATCCAATTCTCAAACCTCTAGTAAGTCCTTCTTAGGTGATGGATGGAATACAGCCGAGCCAAGCAAACGCCCCCGCAATAGCCCAAATAATCCCACACCTTCTCAAAACCAAGTTAAGCTGGACCGGTATTGGTAATTATTTCACAACCTTCAGAGAATATCAGAAAGGAGTAGCATCCTAAGAAAAAACCCCCAAACAACACCAATATATGTTGACAAAGGGAGCAATATCAATGCTAATGAAGATCCTAAATAAAACTGCCTTAAGTTCGTATAACTTGAAACTTTTAAGTAATGAGCAAGTTAAAATGCGTCATCGAAGAAAATAACACTGAATTCTATACACACAAGCTAAGAGAGAAGCTTCAAGGTAATACTAAAGAATATGCACCCATCAATGAACCCTGAAGAAATTTCGGATGAAATAAAGAGTCTAGGCCATGCCGCAATAAATATTTAGAACATGAAACACAGAAATACGAAAAAACTATTACTAATGTTCATAGTGGAAACGAAGGAAGGCTCAAACAACAAAGATATTTACGAAGAGAAATATCTCTTTAAACCAAAAAAGGTTTAGCCCTTAGCCCAAAGCGCGAAACCCGGCAATGCGCAAATTGCCAGCAATATGGGCATACAAAAGCCTATTGCCACAGAAGACCTGTGCGCATAAAATGTACGGAATCCACTGTTCGCGCAAAACCAAGACAGATGACGTTAAGTGCGCGAGTGAGTGTATAACAACGGCATTTACTGCACCACATCGCATGTTCCGCCAATACGTGACCCAAACAACAAACTCAGCATATTTGGAGCTTGCTGGAATGTGCGGTATAACAGCAAGCTCGAGTTGTCGATCTGATATGAAAGACAGTCTTATTTGCGAAAGAGAAGAAACCAGTTGTGTTTTTAGTTCAGTCTTTGTTCCTGAAGATCCACAATTACCATTCACAAATATATTATATAATTGGCGCAGTCGAAGTTCTTCGTTCCAGTTCACATACAAAACAGTTAAAGTAAAATCAGAATCATGCTGTGATTTCAAACTATAAAAAAATTTAATTTAATAATTCTTTTAAATATCGGCATTGGAAGCTAAACAAAAATTCTTCAATGCAGCAGCAAGCAATTCAATTGGAGCTTGATAGAACTTTTTCAAAAAGTAAATTTTTTTTGGAAAAGTCAAAGAACTGAACACAATCGTTTAAAAAGTGATATATACAAGTATATATTATATTAAGCATAAGAAACACCAGTACGATTCCTGAGATTTTCCTGCAGAAAACCGTACGCCGGTCGAAATAACTGCAAGAGAAGAGTTGTATAATAAACCTACAACAACAGTAACAACAACAGCAGCAGCAAGCAACAGTAGCAGTAAGGGCAATAACAAAAAAAAACAGCAGTAGTTGTACGTGGAGAGCATTGACAATAGTAAAAGCGGCAATTGAATGTTATTGATTCTAAACATACTTTTCTTAGATTATATTAATTTATATTATATTATTAAAATAATTTGAGGCATACTTTTACGAGAGGTTTAAAATACGAATTGTTAAGTATACAAGATTCTTTTATTAATTGAATTATATTCTACTTATTTATAAATAAACATTTGTGAAGAGGGCTAAAAATATGCAAGATTGTTTCGTCGCCATTACCCAATTGATGCAGCAAAACGCCCAACAATAACATATATTTAAACCCTATGTTTTTCACAAAAAACAGAAATTCGGACTCATTTTCTCAAAGTACTAGAAATTTTAATAGTAACAGAAACCAGTATAATCAAAGAACAAACAACTATAGGAGAGAAAATGGTAGCAAGCAAAATATTGATCGTTTCGAAAGTAATACAGAACAACATCCCCGTAATAATAATAATTATTATTCACAAAATAGTTCGGGACGGTACTCCCAAAGAAATACAAACTTTTCAGAACAAAATAATTATCACCCAAAAAATCCCACAAACAAACTAATTCAAGAAATTCAGGTCAAAGTACGTTACGGTAATTCTGCAAGGCAACTTGTAAAGAATGGCACTCAGCAATCAAGACGCTCAAACAGCCCAACACCCATGGAGGTTGACGCTATGGGCAGAACAGAGGAAACAAATAACAACGACGAATTTTTTGCCAATTAGCCTCGGAAAATTAAAATAAAATTTTAATTTCACTCACTCTATTTAATAAGAAATGTAATAAGAAATAGTGTGCATTAGTAGACCAAGGCTCTTCCATAAGCATAATGAAAAGAGCCAGTTTCGAAAAGTATAATTTACCAGTTTTAGAAAAAAATAAAAAAATAATTAGTATACTGAATAGAGAAATAAGCACGATGAACGAAAGGGTTAGGACATCATGCCCATATAATTTAGATACCCTCAAAAATGACCGAAAGCGATGGTCAAAAATGGATTTTAACAAGCCATACCACCTTATACTGGGGAATGACTTTATATTTAAAAATATAAAAAAGATAAACATTTAAAACCAAGAAATGGCATTAAAAATTGTGTCAAGCTTCCATTCCATACGAAAATTATGATCGAGCAAGTTTTTTCGTTGGAAAAAAGTGAACTTAGTAACATTCAACTCCACCATTTAAAGCGAGAAGAATGGACAATAATATGTATACTATTAAAAAATATGAATAGCTAATTTATAAAGAAGGAGATAATCTGATAAACACGAATACCGTTGTTCATGAAATTAGAACAACAACGGATCAGCAAATTAATTTCCGAATTTACAGATTGCCCCCCAAACATGCGAAAGAGGCAAATTACTGTTGTCGATAAATATCCCCTGCCAAATATTGATTGGATTTTAGATAAATTGGGCAAAGAACAGTACTTTAGCAACATAGATCTAGCTAAAGGTTACCATCAGATCCTAATGGCAGAAAAGGATATAGAGAAAACAGCTTTTGTGAGTCCAGCAGGCCTGTAGGCATCTGTCAGGATGCCTTTTGGGCTTAAAACGGCACCATTCAGAGATTCATGAACGACATCCTAAGGGAACATATTAATAAAATATGTGAAGTCTAACTAGATGACATATTAATATTTTCTAGGTCACCAGAAGAACACATACATTTACCAGGAAACATTTTTTAAAAGCTTCAGGAAAATAACCCAAAAATCCAGGCAAATAAGTTTAATTTTCCGGAAAAAATTTTAGCCATACTAAAATTACCAATTCCAAAAACAGAAAGGCAATTAAAAGGGTATTTAGGGACCACAGGCTATTATATAAAGTTTATTAAAGATTACCCTAGAATTGCTTACCCAATGATAAAATATTTAAAGGAAGATAACAAAATAAATTCGATAGATCCTCAATATATAGCCAGTTTTAAAAATTTAAGCCCCCATCTCATCACATCCAATTTTAAAATTTTCTGAATATGACAAGAAATTTACAATTACTACGGATGCAAGCAATTACGCTATTGTAGCTGTTCTTTCACAGCTAGGCCAACCAATATACTTTATTTCAAGAACATTAAATAATCATGAGCAGATATATGCGACGACAGACAAGGAATTCCTTGCAAACATGTATGCAGTGACTTATTTTAGACCATACATATAAGGAGAAAAATTTAAGATAGTAACTGATCACTGCCTGATAAAGATAACGTAGTAGCGGACTTCGTAAGTCGAATTGAAAATTCGTCTAAAATAACAGAAGGGAACGACGATGAATCCAATTTAGAAATGTCGGATACATAACATTCTGAAGAAGAACTGCTACAAAGTGTTCTTGTAATCAAGGAAGAAATAGTGAATAAACATAAAATTCAAATCATATTAAAGTATAGCCAAAAATTTGAAATGCAGAGACACTGAATCTGATTATTATAAAGTTCAGATATTAATGATTTCACATGATAATAATTTTAAATTTGTCAAATGTACAAGAAGATAAACAGAAATAGAAATGAAGAAAACTTACATAAGCAAATCTCTCAGAAATAGAAAAAGAAGGAGATTTACATAAGCAAATCTCACTTTACCATAGTAATATAAGTCAATGCATATTGGAATAAACGAAACTTACAATACACAAGGACAGAATATACTATCCCAAATTCAAAAAGCACATACAGTTAAAGTGCTAAATAGTTAAGTATGATAGGAAACCGATAAGACCACATTTTAATCTAACAGAAACACCAACAGATAAAGACGAAATAATACATGTAGACATATTTCATTTCAAACATCAGTCTTTTTTTACAGCTATTGACAAACTGACAAAATTCGCGGCAGCATACAGCATAACAGATAGACATTGAGGACAAAAAAGGCTATTATAATTGAACATTTTGCGAAATTTGGAAAACCGAAACAAATCATAATGGATAATAAATTCAGGGCCGAAATGTTGATACAGGTTTTAAATGCAGAAGAGGAAACCCAATAACGCAAAAAATTGTATCGATCCAACCATTTTAAAAAAAACAATAGGTGAAACAACAACAATACAAGAAAGAAATAGGTACAGGACTACGAAGAACTGAGATCGTCAGGGCCAATAAAAAACTACAAACGAGTACGACACAAAGACGAACCGGTATTTCAAATTAACCCTTTGCAAAACATTCATGTAGCAAACATAAAGAGGCCACTTAAATTAGCTAAAGCAGAGAAGTTACGCACCGAAGAGGAGGATGAGAGGTTGAGCATAGGGATGGAAACGGCGCGAAAAACGTTGACTTTTGACTATACAATTGACTTGAATTTTTGGATTTTTAGATTTAATTCAATGTTAATTAATCATTGCTAAAAGTCGATTCTCAAGTCGACTTTTTAAAAATACACTAACTATGTTGACGTATTTCTTTATTGTTATTAAAAGTGATATTCATTTATTCATCGTTGACAAATTATATTTGAAGAATACACACATAAGTATTTAATACTTTTTTAAATATTTATTCTTTGTTAAAATTGCGCTGAGTATGGCACCGAAAATTAATTTTTAATATTCAAGTTAAGTATTAAAGTAACAATTAAATATATATATTTATTACTAATTAATAATATAACATTAAAATATTAGTTTAGAGTTTAATAAGGTATCCATATGACATAGAAATTTAAAAAGATAATTTAAGATTCCCACATGTCTTCGCTAATTGATCTCAGAAACACTAGTTCATCAAAATGCTGAGGTGATAAACGACTCCTCAATTGATTAGCAATGAGTCCAGCATGGGAAAACAATTTTCACAGGGTACAGAAGTTGCTACAATCGATAGAAATTTCCTCGATACACTCCATAAGTGAGGATATTCATGTTTAATTGATTCCCAAAAAACAAGTGGATTAGGGCATTGTTGTCGTGCCACAACTGGACGATTTAAATACTGACGCAACGGTACCGGCAATCCTCCCGCTTTGCGCAGTTGATAGCTTCATCGAGATATGACCAAATATCATCTCCTTTTTGTCTTTCTGAGATTCTTGGGCTTCAATAACTGGAGTAACTTCTTTATCGAAAGGTATTACAGAAGAATCCGTTGCTTGTAAGGCTAACTTTCTCTCAATCCTAACCAGATCGCCTAATAAAAAAAAATAAAATGAAAAAGGAAATTAAATTATGGATATAGTTAACTTTTATTTGTAATTAGTTAATAAACTCACCAACGTTGGTGACTGCACGAGCAGATTCTCGAATACTATAACAGGCGCACCTCTTATACCGAGGATCAAGAAAAGTTGCGCAAGCATACAATTTCACCGATTCAATGTTTCCATATATATTTTCAATTTCTTGAGTGAGTTTTTTTTGTAATTGTCACCCTATCGCAGTATCTGGATTAAAATCTTCAGTTTTCTGTAAATATAAATTTTATTGTCATTAAAAAGGAACCAAAGTAAATGTAACGTGCAACAATAAAAATAATTTGAATCTAACTTACTTTTTTAAGACAAGCAATCAAAGGGATAAATTTACTTAATGGAACATTTTTTCGGAGCAAACTTTTTGCGTAACTCTCCAAAGAGGATTTAAGACAGCGGGAATTTCAATTAAAGATTTAAGCTCATCATCTATCATATTAGGAGGCTTACCTTTTGACGATTTGTCCAATTTAATCTGAAGAAGGACATTTCCAACATAGTCGGCAAGTACAATAAATCGATTAACCATTTCATAACACGATTTCCATCTTATTTTTACTTCCTGTATTAGTTTAAGATGCTTTACTTCTGGTAACTTGTTTTGTAAGGTCAACAACTCATTTGTAGCTCTTTCACTGAGTCTAAAAAATGTTAAGATTTTTTAAACTTTTGTCAACAGATCACGTAATATTTTTTGATCAGTAGTTTTGTCAGGCTCTAAAATTACTGAATCATCGATAATATCATCTTCATATAAAGGAAGTTCGACTATTTGATCTACAGATTCAGATGCTGGTGGGGTTACATTTATATCGATCACTCTTTGCCCAATATTGTTGATGCCATGTCCATTACACAAAATGTGTTTTTCACTGACGAATTCACTTTTAATTACCCTTAATATTCGATCCTCCGTCAGAAACAAATGCAGCAATTTTTTCATCACTTAGACTCCAGCCATAACATATTTTTCTTAATTTCGACCTCAAAATTTCAATCGTTTTACGCTCTTCCATATGATAAGCTCCTAGCCAACGGTTTTCATTTCAACTCCTAATAAAAATAACAGAGGAATGAATGATATGAAATTTTTGAATTAAAATTATACAGAATCGTCTGTTATGATGATATTTGACTAACCTTTCAAGTAGTGAACTGTCAAACCGAGATAACTCTTCATCGTATGATGGTGTGTCCAAATATCTATCGTTAAGCAAACATACTTAGCTGGTTGAAGCTCGATCTTGACTTTATTACATAAGTCCTGGTATTTTTGTCGAAAAATTAAACTAATAAATACCGGCAAAAGGAGTAGCATTATTTATACAGCGATCAAGGAGCCCCTGATTGAAGTTTGAGTGAAGAAGTTGACTGTAAAGAAATAGTGCTTTTATTTTCTATAGAAACTGATGCATGAGAAGCAGATGATTCAATAGCCATCAAAGCCTAGAAAGAAAATAAACTCTAATTTTTCACAAGAATAAACAAGTAGCAGATATAAATAATCTAAGAACCTTTTGATAAGTTTATAACTAATTACCTTTTTAGGTTGAATCACTAAATCATTTTCTCCACCGTTTGCTCTTTTCCGTGACGGAGTATCTTTGTTTGAAGGCGCATGAATTTTATGAGATGATTGCAATTGCTTATAGTTGATGTGCTCTTATTAAATAAAATTTTTTTTTTTTACAAATATTACACTTTACTTTATTGTCATTGTCGGTTGTGGAACAATAATTCCAGATAACACCAGGAGCCGTAACAATACAATACAATTATAATTAAAATTTGATTTCTGGTCACTAAGGGTCCACACAGATTAAAATTATATGGAAATGATATTTACGTCGGTTATACGTATTGTAACGGATTTCTCGATAAATCGTCTAACTATAACTCACTCTGGAGCTCGATCACTGGATTGTTAAATTAAAGTCCCAATTTAATGCTATACACTTATCTTTATTTTCAAGTCCAACAACTTAACACTTATTGCTCGCTATTTGAACTTACAACTTATTGCTTATAGCTTAATTGCTCTTTACACGGCAACACTCTAATTAGAACTGTGTTTGCTGCACAATCCGGCAGCCCTGATATAGTAAATCTGTAGCAAAACATTGCTTCTAGAACATTCTGGCAACTACGAATTCGCTAACTAGTTGCTTCTGGCAGTTTATCGTTGATTCGATTTTGTTCTATCATCCGTGTTCGTCACAGTATTTAAAATGGTTACCAAGGATCCCAGGGATGATATTTTATGATCCAATCAGCTACCTGTTTCTCAGTTTCTCATACAACGCAAATAAGTGCAAGAAAGACAACTTGAGTAACTTTTAACAACTTTTACTATACCATAACAACTCTTTAAAAAAAGTCGAAGTCATCGAGTGAGAATCGATTTTAATCGTTTCGAGACATGTTTAAGTCGACTCTAAAAAGTCCATTATTTTCATTAAAAGATCGATTTTTGACTCAAGTCAGAGTCGACTTTTCCATCCCTAGTTGAGCATAATAGTACATAATGGTGAAACATAAAATTAAACGGGCCAATGTATTTAAAGAAAATGTAAAATTAATCACGCCATTACCAAATAAACAAAACTTGCAAATAAATCAAGAAGATGACTTAATTGCAATAATAAATAAAGACCACTATGTGTATAAGGAAAGAACTGTATTTAAAAAATTGAAGCTGAGCAAGTATCGTATCTTTTCTGAGGATTATGATTTTATGTATTTTATAATAAAAGAACATTAGTTATTAAGTGATGACACCTTAATAATAAAGAATGCACATAATGAAAGTCTCATTCAGACTTGTGATGAAAGGAATTCATATTGCAAAATAATTATATAATAAATTTCGCAAATTGTAAAATAAAGATTAATCAAGAAAGTTTAAGTAACAACAAAACCCAATTTATTGAGAAACTTTTGCATCCTGTAAGGATGTTAAGCCAAACTTATGAAACAAAAATAAGCTTTGATAATATTGTATTGAATAATTTTAAAAACATCAAAGAAATAGAAGAGTTAAAATATCATAAGAAAATAACTTATGGCATTAGCGCCACCGTAATTATAAATACATTAATAAGTATAACAATTGTTATTATCATCTTAAGAAAAAGAAGACAGGAGACTTGAGAGTGGGTCTGGGGGAGTTATGTATAACTCCGGCATGACTGCACCACATCGCATGATCCGTCAATACGTGACCCAAACAGCAGACTCAGCATATTTTGGGCTTTTTTGAATGTGCGGTACAGCCGGACATAGCAGCAAGCTCGAATTGTCGATCTGATGTGAGAGGCAGTCTTATTTGCGAAGGAGAAGAAACCAGTTGTTGAGTTCAGTGTTTGTTCCTGAAGATTCACAGTTACCATTCACAAATATATAATATGCGCTGTGTGATGGAAATCATCTTGCAAACTATAAAGGCTATATGGTATATAAACGTCACACATACCCCAAGTGGAAATGCACCTATTCTTCCTGCAAATGGTAGTGCCTCTGAACCCTCAAGTGAGATGCGTGAGATGACCACACTACTTAAACAAGTTATGCAATGTATCTCATCAGTACTAAATTTACTCGTCCCTCTCACGTCTACAAATGTAAGCTCTTTAATTCCATGAAAATGATCTTATGAAACGCAAACGGGCATTCAAAACACATTGGAAATTAAACCCCTACTGAAAACTCATAACATAGATGTTCTTTTAATATGTGAAACTCAATTTATGGAAAAGAGCTATTTTCATATCCGAACTATAAGCTCTATTACATGATGCATCCTGACAAAAAATAGCAAAGTTAAATCTCCTGACAGCCTCTTCAGGCTCTCCAATGGATTCACTCACTGATGAGAAAAAAACTGACCTTATAGACTTTTGTGTATTAAAAAGCATCAATATAAATGATATTAATTGTAGTAATAAACCCAACGATTACCCTCCTCCCGCCCAACCGATGCGAGGGGCGCAATCCGCATACGTGCGGAATTAGCCGAGTCAGAAAAGGCAAGAGAGTTTTTTAAGTGTTGAGATCTAAAACTGCTCAGCTACAGAAACAAACATTTCAACAGCTAAGATCTAAAGTTACAATATAATAAATTGTTACATTTTCATTTATTAAGAGAAAACAATAAAGTCTTTTTAATTTTGAAAAGTGAGTCAGATAAGTCAAATGTGCTGGAATGAAATTTAAAATCATGACATATACGGCGGAATGGCTCGTTTAGTTCAAAATTTGATCTACAGGATTTTAGCAGTAAAGGTCTAAACTGCCTCGAAAGGTGAACCGGGATATTAAATTTAATTTCAGACAGGAGAAAAGAACTGCAAACAGTTCCATTCAAAAGTTTCACTAAGAATATTATGTCAAGCATTTCCCTACGACTAGAAAGTGTAGGTAGATTAATAAGTTTTAAACGACTAGCGTATGGAGGTAGACTTACCCTAGCGTCCCATCGGAAATGCGCTAAGGCCAAAAGTAAAAATTGTTTTTGAACCGACTCTAACTTGTCAGAATGGATTTGGTAGCTAGGGTTCCATACCAGAGAGCCATATTCCAATATAGGTCTAACCAAAGTTGTATAAAGTGTTTAAGTAATATACGGATCTCTAAATTCTTTAGACCAACGTTTAACAAAACTGAGGACAGCTTTTGCTTTCAAGACCATGATATCAATATGAAGACTGAAATTAAGCTTAGGGTCCATATTAACTCCCAAATCAACATAGTTTAAAACTTGCTCTAGAATATGGTGTTTTATTACATAAGAAGAGAAGTGCACAGATCTACGGGAAAAGCACATCGTCTTACATTTATTGAGATTCAATGGCAAATCATTTCTATCACACCATGCAACCAAATTGTTTAAGTCTGTTTGCAACAGACACCTTTCCTCAGTTGAAGTGTATGATTTAAAAAGCTTTACATCGTCAGCGTATAATAAAATTTTTGAGAATTCTATTACTGAAGAGATATCGTTAATAAACAACAAGAACAGAATCGGGCCAAGATGACTACCTTGCGGAACACCAGAAGAAACATTAATTGTATCTGAAGGTGTATCCTCAAATATCACTCGTTGTGTTCTATTATAAAGATAGGAAGATACCCATTGAAGGAATCTTGGCTGAAAGCCCAGCAGATCAAGTTTATGTATGAGAATCGAGATATTTACTTTATCGAAAGCTTTGCTAAAGTCCGTGTTTATAACATCCGTATGCTTATGTTCCCTAAAACCCAATGATACATGGTTTACAAATTCAAGTAAGTTTGATATAGTCGAGTTCCCTTTACGAAATCCATGCTGAGATGAGGAAATTAACGGAGAAATCAAAAAGGTTATATGGTCAGTGATGATAGCTTCAAAAAGTTTAGGTATAACTGATAGTTTTGCGATACCTCTATAGTTTTCAATGTTGGATCTAAATCCACTTTTATGCAAAGAGATTATAAATGACTGTTTCCATATTGAAGGAAATATACCATGTTTAAGAGAGGAATTAAATATCCTTGTCAAAGGCAAGTAAATATATTTGGCACTATTTTTTAGGAAGCATGAGGGTATCATGTCTGGGCCATAAATAAAAGATGGTTTTAACTTATTTAAATTAAATAGGACGTCTTCTTCAGAAATAATTGGAGCGTTAATTAAAGTATTCGAACACAGCACTTGCTGATAAGAAAAAGTTTTGGAAGAATTATTACAGTAGTTTGACTTGAAAAATTCTGCAAACATATTGGATGTAATATCATTGTCACTTGAATGAGAGATTTGTATTTCATTGCGGACGGAAATTTGGAAATCCCGCGTTTGGAGTTGACGAAATCATAAAACGATTTTGGATTACTTACAATATTTTTGTTTACTTTATTTAAGTAATTATTATAACATTTTTTGTTTAGGTCAAAATATTGTCGACGCAATAGAGAATATTTAGAATAGTCGACAAGTGAACCGGTTTTTTTTAAATGTTTAAAGGCTCAACGTATACTAAATCTAAGCATTTACCAAATTTATTCGGAATCAAATTAATTTGGTTCAGACCCAACTCGGACATTTTTTCGAAAAACTCATTAAAACATGACCGACTGCAAATCGGCACGATATAGTCATCGAAAGGTTTCCACGAAGCACACGGTAAATTGAAATCACCTAATACAATTATTGAATCTGCATTATTTGCCATCGAGGTAGCACTATTTATTAAAGAAGCATGCTGCATGCATACAGATAAGTCCGAATGGGGTGGTATATAAAATAAGGTTAAATAAATAAAGCAACTATTAACGTATACTCTAATACATTTAAATTCAAATGAGTCGGTCCCTGGAACAAGAATATTTTCAGATGGGATAGAGGAATGCACGGCAAATAGAACACCTCCATCGATTCTGTTCAGTCGATCACATCTAAAAATTTGAAATTCGCTCAAAATCAAAAATGTGAGGTTTTGACCAAGTTTCTGTAAATCCAATTATATGGAAATTAAAATTGGAACTGTTGAAATACAAGTCAGTTAATTTTGTTTTAAGACCTCTAACATTTTGATAATAAATGCTTAGCGAATTCTACCAATCAGTTTTTTATATCGGTGGTTGCTTTTGGTAATTTAACAATGTTTTCCTCAGTTTGACTTCTAAGTTTAGGTTTAAATTCGCGTACAAAAGCCCCAGGTGGCCAGAATGAACTATCTAAGATCTTTTTGAATGTTTCAAGAGATACGTCTATTTTAAACGATGATATACTTCTATCATAATTGAAGTTAAATTTACATATATTGATATCATCGATTTTTAAACGTGACGGAATGTAAGATTTAATGTCCTCCACCAAGGTATCTTTGGCAAGTCTCGAAATATATATAGACTTTTTAGGTGGAATAACTA